TTTGACAGATCGAAACAGAAAAATATATATTAAAAAGAGAAAGACTATTAACCACGTTGAATAACTAGCTCAGCGATATAGTTTTATGGTCTGGTATTTGTGACGTCATAGTTAGGATTTTTGAACGCACTCTAAACGCAAAAATGCCTTAACTATTAACCAAGGTTAAGTTTAATAACCATAGTATTTCATGGTATTTACGCGAAAAAACGACTAATATCTGATTAAGAGTTGTATTCAACAGAGGTGTAACCGACGGGCAACACATTTCCTAAAATACCTTGTTGGTCAGTTGCATGAAAACTGCAAGAAATTTGTTTCCGCCCAAGATAGCCTCTTATTTTCAATAGATTCCAGTCAACAATTGTATGCAACAGAGGTGCAACTGACGGCCAACATATTTTCCACATGCAATAAAGAACCGCGCTTGCGCGAGAGTCCCCGCTACCATATTTTCCACATGCAATAAAGAACCGCGCTTGCGCGAGAGTCCCTGCTACCGTTGCTCACCATTTGTTCTTTATAATCATGCTATGCTCACTCCCCCCTTCCTTTTCAGACCTTAAAATTAGTTGCGGATAGGATCGACTATAGCGCTGAAGCAGCAGAATTTAAATAACTCGCTTTTTGTTGACATCTTTGTCAATTTGACAATTTGTCAATTTTTCGTTTAAACTTTAGAGACCCCATTATTGTTGTGTTCATAGATGAACGAAGGTTTTGTTCCAGCTTTGTTCTAGACAAACAAGTTTTCGTTTTGTGCGATTTGACTTTTTTACAATGGAGTTTAAATGTGCTGTTGTTAATTGTAGAAATACAAGTAACGGGGCAGTATTACACTCGTTTCCTAAGGATCCTGACGTAAGTTAGTTAACTTTAGAAATAACCAATACAATAAATAAAATAAAAAAATGCTTTTTAAATAGGTAAAAAATGAGTCCAAGAAGAAGGAGGCTATTAAAAATTTAAAAAAGATTGTTAACTAAATTAGTAATTTTTTTTGGTTTAGACATTAATGCTTATTTGCTTTGTTTTATAATTTTAAACTTTATTTTTATATTATTATATTTGCTTTGTTTTACACTTGTAAACTTTATTTTTATATACTTCATTAAAAAATATCTAAAATCATAATTTGTTTGTTTTATTACATTTTCCTAATTCAAGGATTTTTCAAACTCATTATTAATTAATACAGTTATTGTATATAGCCTCCTGTAATCTACAATGTTACATTTAGTGATTAATATGAGAACTTTTAAATTGCCTTAAATTTTGTAATTGTAAACTGTGAGAAGTTTGTTTAAAATACAAATCTGATTAGTATGAAACATACCAATAAGTATTTATATTGGATTTGATAGAATTCATTATAAAATGCAAACATCTTAAGAGAAAACCAACATAAGCATGAAAACTTCAAGCCTTAGTAATATTATATTAAATTTTGTTTTCTTTTAAAATGGCTGAATTTTATAATAAAGCTTACCAAATCTTATTAGACATCTGAAAATACAACATATTTAAATATGTTTGTTTAAAATTTCTAGACCATGGTTTTAATATTAAATTTTTTTTATAAGGACTCATTGTCTCACAATATAATAATTAATTTCTGAAAGTCTTTAATAAAAATTAACCGATTTAAATATATTTGTTAGTCAGTTTCATTCGAGCCAGATTTGTATTTAAAACAAAATTTTTACGGTTTACAATTTTAAAATTCAAGGAGATTTAAGTTAGTACAGATATCACACACTAGATGTCGCACTGTAGATTCCAGGCGGTTTAAACTGTTAGTAAAGCCCTTGGGCAATAGATGTCGCTATCTAGAATGGATCTGCTTGCAGCGCCACGGGCGGTGATATCCGCTGTTAAATTAACTTTGTTTCGATTTTCTAACGAGAGTCGGCTATCTATACCTTCGGTCATCTATGTTTATAATTTATGGTTTGTTCTGCGAGTGTGTGTACGACGTGTTGATTAATATAAACAAGAAATCTATCAGGTATGTTTTATGCACACAATAGTTATCTATTAGCTTTAGCTATAGCTATAAATATATATTATATATCCTTTTTCTATGTATAGCACTGTTAAAATAATGCAGAACAAATTAGATGATTTGTAAAATCACCGGGCGGAATAAAAATCTATAAGGTGAATCCCCGAATATATGCTTAAAATTGTTTCTTTCTTCTTTTAGATCTAAAATTGATCAATTTTGACATATGTAGTACATATTATGTACCTATATCCATATGGAAAAATCTAAAAATCCTTTGAAAATAAAAAAAAATACAAAAAAGACGTAAGTAAATTTTTAAATAATTTGTTATATTGAAGTGAAACTTCGTTCGGCATAGTACCTAAATAGAGGCTATAAAAATGTAGTTTTTTCTTTGAAGTATTATAATTTTATAAGGGTTTTTATTCAAATAACATTAATTTATTTAAAATTTCAGAAGCTATTATAATAGCGGTAATTTTAAATTAATTAATTAATGTAATATCTTTTTTGTATACAAAAATTTGTTGTAGTATACTACAACAAATTTTTATAAAGCACACCTTACCGCCTTGTAAAATTTGCATGTTTGAACCAATTTTTATCGCTCTTAAATACAGGGTGTACCAGCTAGGCATTTTTTAATTTTTTGATAATCAAAAAAGTGACGTGAATAAACACATTTAGTGGATATTTTAATAGAACCAAATGCTTCCCAAGAAACAAAATTTACCATAGTGTAGGTGGTAGTCTAATAAACATGTGCATAAAAAATTATCAAATTATTAATTAAAATCTGACTGAAAAAATTGTCAAGCCAAGCGTTAATAAATTATTTTTATTTTTCAGATTGATTATGGGGCCTTTATAGGTGGTGACACCTTAAAAGAACACATTCATAAACTGTTCAGGAAGTTTATCTCTGACGAGATATGCACCCAATATACATGGGGGGATGAGCAAGGCAATCATCCCCTTTACAACCCTGGTCTTGTTAGGGCTATTTTTGGTATGTTAAATAATGTTTTATACAAACTATACATATGTTTATTGCTAAACATATATTTATTGCAGGAGCTGTGGGTACCAATAAAAACTTTGGTCCACCAACGCGTGTTGAACTTCAAAGAGAGGTAACGGCGAGTGACAAAAGTTTTGCCGCACAACAGCGTCAACGTATTACCGCTAAAGCCTGATTTATAGATTTCCTTCCTTCCTTCCTTCCTTCCTCTCATAAAAGATGAACAATACGAAAATCGTAGTGCCATTTATAGATTTCCGTATGGGAATCTTTAAAAAGCACAACGGTTTTTGTATTGTTCATCTTCTACGGGAGGAAGGAAGGAAGAAAGGCAATCTATAAATCAGGCTTAAGCGTCGAGATCCAAACGTAAACAATGAAGATTCCATAAGGCTGCGCCTGTTTGAAGCCGATAATTTATATAATAATAAATATATTTATTATTCCCGGCTGAAGGACGAAAGTCAATTGCCTTTTAAAAAATATATTTTTTTCAATAAAGAACATTTATTATTATTATTATTTATTATTATATAAATTATCGGCTTATAAGGTTATTCTGTTGTGTATATAAATATTTATAATAAGTATTTTATTTCCTTGTAAATATAGGTATTTTTGTAATAAAACGACGTTTGAAAAAATTCGAGTATGAAAATTTACGCCTAACCCTCTTCTTAAAATAACAATACCAATAAATGAGGCATTACTGAAATTGGTGGCAATTTGCCGATAACGTATCGGAAATTAAAATGAATAGGTAAATGAAGCGTTTGGAACCAGAGTGGCCTAACCCACAAATATTTTTTTAAATGATGTTAACAATCATATAAGTATAGTATATATATATATATATATATATATATATATATATATATATATTGTCCTAAAATTATAACCCCATTTTAAAATAAATGTTTGTGGGTAAGGCCACTCTGGTTCTCAACGCTTCATTTATTAATTTATTTTAATTTCTGATTGCCACCAAATTCAGTGAATTTGAATAGGTAAATCATTTCCTATCCGTTGTCCACAATCAGTATACGCAAAAGGTTTCCCGTCTGTTGCCGGTGGGTTGCACACTATAAGTTGTCAGGAAACATTTCCGCCTATAAACTCTTATCAATGCTCTTATGTTATCCACAATAATTATAAGCAAAAGGTTTCCCGTCGGTTGCCGGTGGATTGCACACAATATATTGTTAGAAAAGATTTTTGTCTACGGACAGTCAAATGGTGGCACCCACTTGACAGCAAACGGCTACCATATCAAGAGAACGAATAGTAGGCAACTGACCGGCAAACGGAAGGACGCTGGTTATCTGGGGTGCCTCTAGTCACTGTGTTTCATTAAATGCAGTATTTATACTCCTAAACTCTTAAACCAACCATTGTTACTGTGATACTATAAAGATTTATAAACTTTTAACGCTTAAACATAAATGGTAACAGTATAAATATTATTTCTTGCATTGACTATACTTTGACAGATACATAACCAGAAAAGCCTTAAATGACAAATTAACAAAAGACTGCGTTCCGTACGTGGTCACGTGGTGGGACTTTGAAGTGTGGAGCATAGTACAGTAGCAATTTAATCAACTCTTGTAATAATTATATGATATAGGTAGTATTAATAATCTGTTTTCAGTTTAATGGTTATTGCATGGAGAAAAGAGAGAAATTCACTTTCTCTGTAAACCCTGGAATCGGAACTAATGGTTAAACCGGGTTAAACATAACTTTACTGAATCTTGTGAGAAATTTGCCAAATTTTTGGCCATTAATGAAAATGATATTATTAAAAGAGTGGGACCAAACCCTAAATACTCTTAAAGTTATGCATACCATTAGTTTTGATTAAAAGTTGGAATCTCTCTATGTTTAACCAAAATGTATGATTTTGTCTGAATAAAATTTTATTTCTTTAACCACCCGTATTTTGATTTTTAAAATCTGGCAAGTTTTTACCTGTCCACCACCTTCAGGAAATAAAATTGTATCCTCCAAGATCACTGCATGCATATCTTTTTTAACTAGTTTTCCATTTTCTGTAAAAATAACTTCTGTTTTTTCGCAAGATATTACCCTTGACTCAAACTAAAATGAATTAAAAATATTATACAGAAAATGTACTCCTACATACCAAAACTTTACCTCCTTTAAAAAGGAATCTGATTGACATTTAAAAACCATTATTTATCAATTTTAAAAGAATTATTAATTAACAACTAGAAATATTCAAAACACAGGGTTTAAATATAACTAATTTATAACTTTTTAAGCACCTCTTTTAAAAACAAATAATAATATTCAAATCTAAAAATATCAATATAATTTAGGTTATGTTATACAGTGTTGTCTACAACACACATTTAAACCTGTCTGTGCCACAGAACAGGGGTCGTCAAATGTCAATATGTTATTGAATTCAATATTTATTTATTATTTTTGAAGAAAATTCCATATGAAATAAATAAGTAAATAAATAATAATTATTTTTGTTGCAGAAATTTAAATTTAAAAATTTTAAGAAATACAAATACCGCCTGAAATTAAAACAAAAATTATGCTTTTACAATGATAACAATTTTTTAATAAATATATACTTTAAATACATTTTTAAATAATGTTTGAATTAGCAATGTTTTTTCAACCATTGTGTATATTTTGCAAGTTGCGTTGGCTCCTGTCATTCTGATGTCACGATGGAGGGGATGCCATGTGTACCGCAACTTCCACGTATCACAAGCTGGAATAGAAAGTAAGCTTGAAGAGTATCGGCTTTGGTTATTTCTCTGATTATTTGGCACTCAACCGGTTGTTATTTTGAAATAAACAAGTGTAAATTTATCATTAAAATGAAATACTTCTTACTTTTGGCTTTATTGGTTCTACCAGCTGTGATATTCACCTTTGAGAATGGTAAGTTAAATTCTTTTTCTTAAAGTTTATGCACATTACTTTTGAACATGGCATATTTTTTTATTATTTTTATATTTTTATCACAACAGTTATGATTTTAAAAATGCATGTAATATAAAATAAGTAGATATATATAAATGTTTTAAATAAAGGAAAAACACCATGATTTTTTAACAAGCTTTTCAAGAAAGTATAATAACTTACCTACTTTTTGATAACATATGTTTTTTAGGCAATAGAATGTTATCATATGCTGAAGATTCTTTAGAAGATGAAATTGATGTTGAAGGAGAAGCTGAAGTAGAAGTGGGGGGTACTGAAGATGATGATGATGATGTTAAAACAACAGCCTCACCAGATGCAGACACTACACTATTATTTGTTAAACCAATCCAAAGTGGAGCATCCCAATTAGGTAATTATGTTTATTACAAGCTTAAAAGTATTAGAATATTATTATAAGTTAATTAAAAAAGTATTAGCATATTATGAAAAAACAATATTTTAAGTATAAATGAATATATTCCCAGCAAACAAAAATGGAAGTGGGTATTTATATGTCCGATGTATACAAAATTTGGTATACGTCTTGTGCTTTCATTGGCTAGTTGATTCACATGACTGTCATGGCACACTTGACCGGCTTGTCAACAATGTGATTACTATTACTACTACGTATAATATACGTAAATAATACTAAAACTAACCAACCTAACCCGAATTTGAATTCATAGACCTATCCTCTAAGTTGGAATATCAATATCTGTACATATGCTGGGTAAATGCATCCATAGGGTTATACAGTTTTGTCTTTTAATTAAATTACGTTAACTAATGATGTTACAAAAATTACATTTATTGCTAGAATTTTATAGACTAACTTATTTTATTTAATATTTGTAAATGTCCAGACCACTTTACCTATAAATAAAAAGAAGAAACATTTGAATTAAAAGAAAAAAAATTAATGCACAAAAAATAATTGGGTACCTACCTACTCACAAGCTACAAGATTTAAGAATTAATTAGCTTTTGGCTTATTTGTCCTCTTTACTTTGTTGCTGTCACTGCATGTTGATATCAATGACATGAATTACAAGTAGAGATGTGACTTAAAAAAAACGATCCTTTTTTTTTGTTTTCTAGGGTTTTTTCACTGTTTTTATGTTTTTTTTCAAGATTAGTTTTATTTGCCTAATTTTTGTATGTTTCCAGTCCAGTCAGTTAGTAAATATATATACATTCACGTGCTATGCACCCGCCACAACCTCCGAATTGACCAATAAGAGCCGCGCTATCCACCTGCGGCGATCAGGCGTCAGGGTTTGTTTTGATTTGGTCTTAAAAAAAAGTAACTACCTATAATAGACTTCAAATAGTTATTTATGTATCAAGGCAGTAAAGTCGTACCACGAATGTGGAAATTATTTGACGAGGCGAAAGCCTCGGCAAATAACCACGTGAGTGATAAAAAATGACTTTAATGCTGAGGTGCATGCATATTAAATTTTATCCGAAATCACATTTAATAATACTAATAATTAATATTGTTGATTAAATCAAATGTCATTTGATGATTAAATCAAATGTCATTTGACTATATATTTGCCCGCCGCACAGTGTATTGCTTTCATGTTCTAGAAAATATTAAATAAATTATTTTATATCGTTGAAATTTAAAAAAACCTATAAAATTATTTTCACAAATAACTGATAGGAACGAAACAACAACGGCAACAGAAGTGAAACAAAATCTATGGCGTTTCGTGATTTGATTTGAAGGAATATTAAGAACGGTAAAATTTTTATTTAAGAATTTTCATTTGAATGTTAACGTTTAAATTGTTGGTGTTTTGTTTTTTAAGCCGAAATTGTTACAAGAATATTTTTTACTTCTTCTCTAAGGTATGTTCTATTTAATGAATATAATTTTTTGCGATTTCAATAAATTAGGTCTGAGTATTTCATGTTTTAGTATACTGATGTAAATTTAAAATAAATTTTAGCAATTTTTATTATCTTCATTAGACGCGGAGACTCGGTATCCGCGGGTATCCGCTTTCATTTTTATTTTAGTTTATTTGTTACTCTTCTTAGACCTTATTTAACATAATTTTAGCTGCAGGAAAGTGCAGGTTTTTATGCATTTTTTTTAATCAAATATGTTAATTTTAAGGGAAGATCTTTTTAAAGTTAAGAATCAACAAAATTTTTCATCATTTATTTTGCTTGTTATTTAAATATCATTCACGATAAGAAACTTCTATTTTGTTTTACAGGTTGCGCAAAAAATACAATTGTAGATTTTGAAAAAGTAAGAATTGTTAAAAAAAAATTTTTGAAGGTTTAATATAAAGAGCTTGTAAGGAGAAACCAAAAAGCAAAATAAAGTTTTTTCATGCAGTTGTTGTTAAGATACTTGTTATTAAAAATAAAATCAATTCAGGTCCTAACTTGAGTGGTCCTATTACTTTGTAGAAATTGACTGCTATCTCATTTTGTGATTATGAATCATGGTTGTTGCTTTCAACTGACATGTCTACAATTATTTGTTAAAATTTGAAAACTAATATTTTAAATTTTTAATATCAGATATAATATATATTAAAATTTCACAGGAAAAAACTTCATTTGACTTTTTGATTTATCCTTACCAGCTCTTTATATTAGAGCTTGAAAAAAAAAATTAAAAAATTTTTAATTTTGAAAATCTGTATTTTTGCTCACCCTGCACAACAAAATGTATGTTTCTCAACGCGAATCGTATTTATACATATAACAAGCAAAAGAAATTATGAAAAATGACTTCTCGAAAAATTTAAAAGTAAACATTTTAACAAGTATTGTCCATCCGTGGACACACTGTATATAGATATAAATAACTAGGCTTGATAAAAAAAAAACATAAATTAAAATCAAAACAAAAATTACACAAATAATATATTAATGGAGTTAAATTACTACCTAATTGTAAAAATAATTTAAATTTAAAAAAATATATTGAAAACAAAAAATTAAGGGAAAAAAATTACACAAATAATATATTTATAACGTACTAATTATTAAGTAAATACAATAAACAAAAATAATTTTAATACCCTTGATTTTGTATCAGCTAGATTGGCAAAAAATCACACTGTGCGCCGCGGCGATTTTTTAATTAATAAAATTAACTTACTATTTTTATTAAACAACATTTTATGAAAGGGTCCAATCGAACTCCGCGACGGTGCTTTTTTTAAATATTATTTAGTTTCTGCTGAGGAGCTGTAGACACATCTTAAAATATATGTAATTAATGTTATATATTAAAATACTGAATACCTTTTGACATAAGGAATAAAGGAAAAATATTTTAAAAAAACATTTTTCCAAAGATAAAAAAAATATGCATTAGAAGTTTTTTATATTTTTTGTGATACGCCACTGGTTACACACTTGTTTATCTCTGCACACCTGTATTTAGACAGTACATAGATACCAACCAACAAAGTAGCTATGCGTTGCCAGATGTAAAAAATTGTTACTAAAAATTTTTCTTGCAAAAAATAAATAAAAACTCAATAAATACAAAAGTTTTATGCCCTTAAAGCTCTAATACCCTTCTGTATTTATTTACTGATCCAGCTATTAGCTTAAGCAATGATTAGAAAATTTAGTACCTTTGAAATTTGAAATCCATAACCACAAAATTAATTTTTTCATCAGTTTTTTTCTCTGTTTACTCAGATGAAATTGGGACCAGTTCACAGGTTAAACTTTAAACATTTAATTTGTGTAAATAAATCCAAAACCACTTCCCTTAGTTAAGATATTTACAATTTGAAAACATAACCTAAAATTTAAAAGAAATGCACTAGATTCTGTCATAAAAGTTGGCAGATTTTGTTTGAATTTACCTTCAGTGCAAAAATGAAATAACCAACAATTAATAAAAACGCCAAATTAACAATTTGCATTGTTAATTTTGTCATTTTTCTAATTAAGCTAAATTTAAACAATGTTTGTCAACTTTTTTGAGAGATTTTGGAAAAACTGTGGTTACCAACCATAACATAATAAATCCACCAGATTAACCTAAAGTTCCTAGTCGATCAGTGGCGTACTTTTTGGTAGGATAAAGGTTATTATAAATTATTTTTAGACTTTGGAATTTAGAAAAAAAAAAGTTTCAGGTGCTTCTTTATGGACCCTAAGGAACAACTCATTTTAATATATAACATTAATTACATAACACCCTGTATAATCGGTTGCATACAATACTCGCATTAAATCGGCAGTAAAGTTCTACTTTACTGCCGATTTCTTTTACTTTACTGCCGATTGTTGACTACTTTACTGCCGATTTCGGATAAAAGTGTTTTAACATTGTTTTGGTTTCGTATGTATAAACTACCAAATATTAAGAAATCAAATTTTTTAGTCTCAGTCAAAATTTTCAATGATGGAAAATGTAATATATTCTAAATTCGAGGCGCAAAAGCGGCCTAACTAAAAAAAATAACTTTGGTTTTTTATCTTAAAATATTCCTATGCTCTTATCGAGTTAACAAGCCTAATAAAGTATTTTGATATAGTAGTAATTACTCTTCCTATTAAAACACACTTTATTAGGCTGGTTCACTCGATAATAGAAATATTTAAAGATAAAACCACAAAATGATTTTTCCCGTTAGGCTGCTTTTGCAGTATACGCCTCATTTCATTTTATTATTAACATACATTTTGCTCAAAATTTTATATTGAAAAATACTCAATTTTTTAAGATTGATGTTATTAATTGACAGAAAATGCTTTATTGTAGTATAGCGCATTTGAAGAAAAAAACAAAAAAAACGTTTTCTTTTCTAGTTTTTTTTTCATGTTTTTTTTTTTCAAATCTTAAAAAAACCTGCTTTTTTTTCATCTCTACTCACAAGGTACAAGATTTAAGAACTAATTAGCTTTTGGCTTTTTTGTCCTTTTTACTTTGTTGTGTCACTGCATGTTGATATCAATGACATATGACATTGGCTGGATAGACGCGCAAAGATTTGATTTTTCAATACTTTTATAGGTACCTACTGGTTAAAATTTTATTTCGTTATTTAAAAAATTAAATAGTAAATATTCTGGTTTTCTGATTGATTCAAACAACCCCACCATGGCCCACCAACCTAAAATACTGTCAATTTTATAAAATACTGTCAATTTTATAAGCTACATTTTTTATAAAACCAATTTTGCTTACTGATGTGTTGTTGCATGAATATATTTTTCTACTCCCACCTTTACATGTTTTCATGACACTAAGTGACCTTTTAAATACACATTGACAAGTTGTGGCTTTATGGCGTTTTAGTCACGGGCTGAAGTTAGCAACAGGTTTTTTGTTACGGGCTGAAGTTAGCTTTAACTTAGTCAAATGTATAATGT